TGGACTATATTTTTTCAAACAAGACAAAATCATTGATGAAAATCCATAATGATTAATGCTAGCTCATAAATACACTAAAAATGCCTTACAGAAAATGAGTACTTTGACAAAAATTCTTTAAACAACTGATATCAAAAAGAGATGACATTGACTGACCACAAAGAACAAACACTTTGATGCCCCTTAACTTCCTTTGTGAGTTTATTTGAAAAATACACAATTTTAAGACCATTGAGGGGTTAAAAGCAAACGTGACGAAGTAATCGCTGTAGTAATCTAAGTGTTGTAAAACGCCATAAAAAAGAGCTCGCCAGAAATTGTTAAAATTGTATTTAGAAAAATGCCAATAAATTTACAGGAGTGAAATAATAATATATAAAAATTATCTCAAAAAAAAAAGAAAAATGTTAATTTCGGCGGCACCTAAAATATAATACATGCGAAAATATCTTGTCAAATAAAGAAGTTTTCTATACAAGAGCTTCATTTTGATCAATCAGTTTATATGTTAGTTGTATCTTACAGTGGCGTGATATCATCGATTACGACAAATGTGCAGCTTTTTGGAGAGAAAGAGGCGCTTACTAAATTTCGATTCGATATCTCAAAAACTGAGGGACTAATGTGTTATATAATATTGACTCAGCTTGTCAAACTAATAATTTATTTATATAATTTAGAGAGTATTCAACGTTTCCTACTGGGTGTTACAAATTTCACACACTTAATATACTCTGTTGAGGGTATAGTAAAAGGAATACTTTTGTCATACAAATCTTCAAAAGATACTTACTCCACGTAAGCTGCCATAATTATCACTTGCATTTGGTCACCTAGATAATTAAAAATGTCAATTTTCGTTTCACGCCCATTAAAATTAATGAAATTTCTTAAAAAGTATTAAAAAGCAAATTAACGCAAAAAATTCCCATACCACACACATTTATTCGCACAAATCTATGGTTGCATGTAAATTCATCGTGACGCAATGCCGTCACCTACTTGCTTTCTAATCAACTTTCCAGTGCTATAATTTGCGTCACAATGGTCGCTAAGCACTTGCTAATTAATCTTTGCAAAGAAAGGTAATTTCTACGCCAATTCAAGTTTTTCTTGAGTTATATAAGCAATGACTACATATATATATATATATATACTGCCGGGTTTCAGACCTTACAAAAAACTCACAGCTTTGGTGCAAAAGTGAAAATTTCTGGCTCACCAAATTTCAGCTGTAACCACATGGCTTTTGTTTTTATTATTTTCGTTATCTATTTTTCGAGTTTTCTTAAAGCTGTATTATTTAATGTGTTATATAATTTCCTATGCAAATTAAATACTTTTATATAAGCGTGAATATATAATAATCGGCGGAAGTATTTATTTCATCTCGTTGACATTATTTTTTCAATGATGTCCAAGTTACATTTGTGGTTGAATGAATGTTAATGTAAATCTTTTCCACACGCTACGAATAGAAATATCTACATTACTCTCGAAAATGAAAAGTGATAATTATTAACAAACGTTTGGAGGGGCGGCAGGGTGCTGTCAGCAAGTATTTAGATTTTAATATCTGTCACGTTGGCGTATTAAAGAAAAGGAGAAGAAAAAAAGGGGAAAAATATTAATTCATTGTTTCAACCAAACAATTATTATCTAAGACGACGAAATATAATTATAGAAAAGACACATTGCTTAAAAAATGTATAAAAGAAAGCCAAATAAGTTTAAAATTGTTTAAAATAATTTTTTAGTCTGCTTTTCAGCCTTTCTTTATTATTTCACGTATTTCATAATTAATCAATCCAACTTATGGAAAGCGTTTTACAGTTAATTTGTGGCACTTGTTGAATTTAAGGACAAAGAAATAATTAAAATATTATACATGATATATCCGAACATTTTATACTCTTGCAAAGTCAAATGGTCTACTCGTTATAGATTTCTTTGTGGGTCTTGCCGCATTGTTCTATGTTGACCGATATTTCCGGTAAAAAGTCAACTATAAGTACTGCGATCCACATATTCAGTACCTAGGGACCTGAACAGTTTTGTTTCGATCTAGGCAATTTTTGGTCACAAGGTGGCATACTTTAAACGTATTATTCACGCAATGTTCTGCACTAATATAATAATTTTTGCTTGATATGCATAGTGGAAAGTGAAAGAATCAGATGGAATTGAAAATGGTGTTATATGGGAAATAGGCGTGGTTGTACTCCGATTTCACCCATTTTCGCACTATGACATAGAAACATGAAAAGAACGTTATGCACCGAATTTGGTTGAAATCGGTTGAGGAGATCTCAAGATATGGGTTTTCACCTAAAAGTGGGCGGTGCGACGCCCACTGACTAATTTTGAACGTGGTTCCTATAAAGTCATCACATACCATCCCAGAGATAAATTTTAATGTCTCTGACCTATTTAGTGCTTGATTTATCACGCTTTTAGTAGTTTTTAACAGTACCGTTATATGGGAAGTGGGCGGGAATGGCACCCGATTTCACCCATTTTCACACCGTCGATAGAGATGCTAGAAACATTTCCAATTTTCCAGTGAACTTTGTTATTATAGCTTCAGTGGTATAGGAGATATGGATATTAAACGTTTTAGATAGCGAAACCACACTTTAGAAGAAAAATTTTTAACTGCAGATGCCTCTCCTTAATGTGATCCTGTGTACCAAATAACAGTCTTGTATCTTATTGCGGAGCTTAGTTATGACAATTTATTGGTTTTGATTAATGGCGTTTTGTGGGCGTGGCAGTGGTACGATTAGGCCCATCTGTAATACCAACCGTCTTACGGTATCAAGAAATATGTCTACCAAGTTTCAAAAAGATATCTCAATTTTTACTCAAGTTACAGCTTGCACGGACGGACGGACGGACAGACAGTCACCCGGATTTCAACTCGTCTCTTCATCCTGATCATTTATATATATATAACTCGATTAGTTTTAGATGATACAAACAACCGTTAGGTGAGCAAAGTTATTATATTCTGTAGCAACAAGTTGCGATAGTATAAAAATCGTATCAATATTAGGCACAAACTCACAAAATGTAGGCTCGGTACATACTTGTAATAATGAATTTTAGATTTGATTTATTGTATTTTGTATCATTTCTTCATTTTTCGTTACATATCATTATTAATTATTTATTTATAGTTCAAAATATTTTTACTATATATTATTAGTTAGCATCACTGATTGGTTAAATTATGAATTGCGTAATCGGTTCGTCCTGTTTACTTTAACTAGAATAAAAGAGATTTATTATATTATATTAATGAAATCTAGGGTAAAAATTGACCTCAAGGCAGAAAATAAACAAATATTGGTGAAATCGAGCATTATTTGAACCACTTATAGCGTTTGTTTCAAAAGTTTAACTGAAATATGTTTTACACCATTGAAATGAGATGAAAACATAGATGCTGGAAATATTTTTACTTTTCATTAACTTACACATTAAATTAATTACGATTTTTAAAATATGCTAACTTCCGATTCGAAGGAAAATATTTCAAATTTGGAGCTTAACTTTGGAGACGGAGACATTACTTTTTGATTTACTATTCAATTTCTCTACAAGCATTGGTTTGGTGTGATACCCAGCACATTATTGGTATTCAATGCAATATATCGGATAGTAAAATAATGAATCAGAGCAATGTTTCATCGAAACCCATGTAACAAAATCACTTATTCGCGCTAGCGTGAGTAACTTTACTATGTATATATTTAACTACAGCTGGAATATCGATACCATTTAGGCGCAGGTATTTACAATTTTGCTTTGACTCGATAAATTAAGCCTTGAAGAGAAATAGTTGTAGCACTATTTTTGATATTCGAACAAATATTTTGCAAAAAATTTGGAAAATTTATTAATGTTTATGTAAAGAATATTTGAAAAAAAAAACATTTTTAATGGAACTAAAATTGTTTATATCTATGACAAATGTCGCATAAATTATATGATATCTGAATAATTTATATATATCTCTATTTAGCCATTACCTTAGCTACTTGTATTTCGTCATTCCGGGCCATTAATATTTAATATCTATTACTCCGTCAATAATAAGTCATTCTTATTATTCAGTTAGAATAGTAAGGGGCACTGCTAATGTTAGCAGCTTAAAAAGATGATTTTGTGGATATTTTTAGAGAAAACTAGTACATGAAATAGATATGGTAAATAACACTAGTATAAAGTCATTTTGCGATTGTGATGTTAGAGACTGGATTTCTGGTTAATTTTGGTTTAAAATTATAGTTTCTTAACACATATGACTTTTTGTGTTGTAGTCAAGCGGTGTAGGGGTCAAATCACTACCATATACAAAAATTACAAAAATAGTTGTACGTAATTGAAAATTTTTAACTCAAATTCGCAAATAGGACACCTCAAATACCCCCATAGAGCTCTTAACACATCAGTCGCAAATTTTTCCTACAGATTTGTTGAGTAGTGTAATTAATGAATATACACAAAAAAGTTATACGTAATTTCCCTAGTCAGTAAAAAAAAATAACTTCATCCACTGCTGTGATGATTTCGGCCTTCACCGTGGTTAAAAAGAAAAAAGTAAATTGTTAAGCTGTAAGAAAGGGCCTCAATAAGGATCTACGATTGTTAAATTAGCAAAATGGGATAGTTTGAAAAAAATTAGATGTTTCGGCAACATAAAAAATAAGCAAAAAAAACTAAAGTAATACATTGATTTGTTACCAGTTACGACTGCAGTCAATTTGAAAAATATGGTTGTGAGAAAAAGAATACGTTATATATTATATCTATAATATGAATTGTTTTCGTTCAAATACGATTGTTTGTAAAGTTTTAAAAAAATATATAAAAATAAATTTAAATATTTAAACACGAACTAATAACTGTAAATATTGTATGCTTGTTAAATTTTGCCTTGCTGTATAAATAAGTATGCTTATATATAAAAAAAAACGCTTCTCGACTCAATATAGGTGACATCATACATTTGCACGACATCTATCCCGACTTGGCGGGGCACAACAAACACCCACCGCATAGCAGTCTCAGCAGCAGTGCACAATTACACAATTTACATAATAGTCATGGCGCAACGCAAAGCAGCAACGTACATACCACCAACATAGCATCGCATAACACGCTGAGTGCCTCACGACCGCCAGTTCATCACTACCCCACCGTCATCAGTAATCATCAGTACCAAATAACGCAATCGCTGTACACAACGAAGCGACCCTACAAGCCGCACATCTATCGACCGGGAGCGACGGGTGGTGGCGCTGTGGCACAATCAAGTAGCTGGGAACATGAATCAAATCATCTGGGCGCTGGCATCACCAATCATTTGGACACTTTCTTCGATGTGGAACGACCACCCACACATTCGGCGGAGAGCGGCCCGCATGAGCTTTTGCCGCATCCACAGCCCTTCGCGGTGGGCAATGTATTGGATTTGAATGCGGGCGAAGCGGTTGAGGATTACAGTGGCGGTGGCGGCGGTGTTGGAATTTATGCCGACGGAACAACGTATCGACCAGTGCCGGGTACCAAAAGCTGATTTGATGTTTCTACAACTTTAACTTCTTAGTATTGTTTGTTTGGGTTCTTGAGTTTAGTTGGAAGAATACTTATTTTCGTTACTTTTTATTTAGTACTCTTATTTCACATTTCACTTTAGACTTTTCTTTTTTTTTATGTAAATGTATTCAACTCAGCACTGGTATGCTTTTGCTCTTATTTTTGACTTATTTTATATTTTCTAAATGCTTTCCTATTTATTGTTAAGTCTCACGGTGTGATTGGCTCTGCACTGTCTTCTTTTATCAAAAATCTTCAATTCATTTCATTTTAATAATATTAATTAAGTTATTTTTACAATTCGTTGCAGGTTGCGGTGAGGTCTACGCGCGCTCAAATCGTATTGTAGGTGGTCATTCGACCGGCTTCGGTTCACATCCCTGGCAGGTGGCGCTTATCAAGAGTGGATTTCTCTCGCGCAAACTTAGTTGTGGTGGTGCGCTCGTCTCTAATCGCTGGGTTGTCACAGCGGCGCATTGTGTAGCAACGTAAGTAGTAATGGAATTTGGTGATACTTTAAGATCTAGTAACAAGAAACACATTCTTTCTGCTTTGTATTTGTTCGAAAAGTGGTTGCTATTTTGAAGGCAATTTCATGATGCCTCTTCAATAGAAATACTCGTTCTTGTTGGCAAAAACCTGGAACATTTGATTTAACGACGGTCAAATTGTTGACAATACAAGTCTGAATTATTTCAATCCCATCAAACCCATAGCAAAACCAAACAATCACAAAACTGTCTAAGAAGTTTATTTTAGTACGAAATTTCATCTTTGGCACGGCCTTACTCGTAACCCAATCGAATTTAAGTTTTAACGTGATATACAGATTACTAAAGTCATATAATGTAGAACTAATGGATTTCTTTTTGATAGATGTTATATATATATAATATGTACTAGAATTTTGTTATTTTTTTCTCTTTTTGTACGATAACAAGGTAATTGTCCCATAAAATAAGCGATTAAGACATCAGTGAATAGTTTTCGAAAAGTTGCTACTTTGTTCCCAAAATATTTGCAATAAAATCTTTCTATATTTAATATGCTTTTTATAGCGAAGTCCTATACTTTGGTGTATCAGGAACTCATTTCATATTAATATCTTATTTTCCATTTACAATAAATTTAAACCAATACACAAACTTCTATACCATAGAACGGCAAACTCGAATATGAAAATCCGCTTGGGCGAATGGGATGTACGTGGACAAGATGAGCGACTTAATCACGAAGAATATGGCATTGAACGCAAGGAAGTGCATCCACACTACAATCCAGCAGATTTCAAGAACGATTTAGCGCTTATAAGATTGGATCGTAATGTTGTCTACAAACAGCATATAATACCGGTATGTTTGCCGCCGCCAGCCACGAAGTTGGTGGGCAAAATGGCAACAGTAGCTGGTTGGGGACGCACGCGGCATGGACAGAGCACGGTGCCCTCAGTGCTGCAGGTAAGATAAATATAGCTACTGTTTATAGTCAATATGTAAAATAATAAACTCAATTTGTTTCTCATCAAAATCAAGGAAGTGGATGTCGAGGTGCTGTCGAATGATCGTTGTCAGCGTTGGTTCCGTGCAGCGGGTCGTCGGGAAGCTATACACGATGTCTTCCTCTGTGCCGGCTACAAGGAGGGTGGACGTGATTCGTGCCAAGGCGATTCTGGTGGTCCGTTAACACTGTCGTTGGATGGCCGTAAAACGCTTATCGGTTTGGTGTCGTGGGGTATCGGCTGTGGGCGTGAACATCTGCCTGGCGTTTATACGAATATACAGAAATTTGTGCCGTGGATCAATAAAGTGATGGCCAATGATAATGCGTAGTGCTGCGTGGACTCACACTTGCCAAAGACTGCAGTGCACTCTGATATGCCACCTGAGTCGTTATGTAACGATATCCTATTGCGTATTTTATTCGCTAAATTATCACTTTTCCAACTTAAACTCTGCCCGCGTCATATTTATTGAACAATTCACGCTTTTTGATCATGAATTTTGTAATTATAAGTAACGTTTGGTTACTAAAAATATCTTCATTTACCGGGACATTTTAAAAATACAAATATGCGATTAAGTATTGTAATAATTTATACTAAATTAAGAACATTTTGTACGATTTATTAATATTTAAGTATTTAAAAATAAAGTTAAATGTAAATAAAAGTGGAATTTCGCTGTTGAGTTGAAAGTTTACGCAAAACTATAAATGAGAATAAAATTTAAGTTAAGCTTGAAAGCTAACGATTACTGCATACTTTTAGGCAGATACAGATTCCGCAAATCAGTAATGCTTTCCGCTTTATGGTAAATCAAGAATTAACTCTTAGTAGTCATTATTGTCGCTTTTAAACCTCTTTATCATTTATCGATCAATATAATAAATTTTAGTTATTTATAAAGCAAGCTTAGATTAATTAATTATAAATTTTGACAAACACTTCGTTGATTTCATAACTAAATTTTTCACCTTTTAAGATCTCTCTACATTAAATTAAAAGTTTTATTTAGCAGCACTTTAGATCAAATATACATCATTTTGTTCGCTTACTTCTAACCGAAGTAATTTTATTCTAATAGAGTAATTCTCATAGAAACCCTCGTCTCTATTGGCAATAAGTTGGGACAGACGACCTGACTTTGTCTATTGGCCAAAGCTAGCTAAGACACATAGCAAATCCTTCCCCGCGATACGATCATTATTGTTTTCTCATGCCGTTTTCACTTTTCATCACCAGTACCCATCAGCATCATAAAAGGAATCAATTTTATATAAGCTCAGCAGCAATTTTAAAATAAAAATTCGGTCCATGAAGTTTTTTTGCGTAAACTCGTGTGGCACTCAGCCATCGTGCTTACAAAACGGTCGGACTCGTAATATTTTCAATTATCTTTGACATCAAATTTATAAGGACCATAAACATTATTCCCATTTTTAGCGACATGGCTTGAGTTTTCGCCTTTATCAAATAAAAACTATAAAATATGGCGTATATTCTCTTTGCTGGTATCCACATTTGACGTGAGCTCAAACAATATTGAGTCAATGAATCTCAAAACTGAATTTTCGGACGAAATCTGAATTTTTTAACGATATATTGGGCAAGCCGATCGCAATTATACAACGCGAGATATAGGTAGCTATTAATCTTTGTTTGTTTGTTGTTCTTACGTTGAAAGGGAGCTGCAAAAATATTTCTCACGTTATTCCTCTTGCGATTTTTGAGGAAAAAATTTATTTATAGTTTGTAATGACTGGAAAAGTTCAACACTTCTGTTATTTCAAGTTCGAATCTCTGTCATTTACATAGAAGTTCTCACAAACTTTAAAATTCTATTAATATATTTGACAGCTGTCAATAACTAATTACTTAAGCTCAATTGTGTGTGTGTGAACAATAAATACGATGAGACTATTAACACTCTGTTTGCCGCCATTAATTACCTGTGTGATATAAAACAGTATAACAGCCGTTGTATTTATTTGAAATGTAATTGAGTAAACGGAAATGAGTTTAAGTCATGCTGAGAGCAGAAGCTTGAAAATTACCAGTATTTCAGTACCACCTTTGTCAAATTGTCGCTTTATATGATAACTCCAAGCATACTTTTGGGCATTTTTTTGTTGAAGCTGTATACTTTGTTATTAATTGTTTTATCAAGAAGGCGCCTCTAATAATTAAGTACAGTACTTTATATAAAATTCTAGCAAAACGCAAATTTCTTATTTCAACTTTAAAATTGTTTAAGAATTATGAATACTGGAAGATTATAATGAATAAGTATTTTAACATATGTTCACATATGTATGTGGATTCGTTATCTTAAAATTGATTAATTAATAATTAGCAGGCTTCCATAAAGAATACTTTTTGTCTGTATTGCTTTTCGTTATCGAAACGTAAACAAAAGAACACTTTGTCACGTTTGGTTCATTGAATTTAAATGATGTTCAATGTCTTCATATCCGTTTCACGAAGTAGTCTTTGTCCCTACTTTATATTAACATAATCATATGTTGTTAAAAGTAAAAATCGAATGCATCGTCCGGCTTGTGGCACCTCTTAACAGCCACTTGTGAGCCTGCCACTCGACAATGTTGCATAGTGCCATTGAGAAACAATAAAAGTAAGCCGACCATGATTTCGGACATAATAACAATTTTTATCACGTACGTAAACGCATTACAAAGTAATCGAATAATAAAAGAAGGGTGCAAGAAAATTAAGAAATCATACAACAGTTGAGGCAATTTGAGCAAATACTTGAATAATGTAAGAGGATTACGTGTTAGGCAAAATTAAAAATTTGTATTTGAGTCCATTATAACGAAATCTTTTCATTTTTTAGTGAACATCAACAAATGTTGATCAATCACTTCCAACTTTTGTTTGAAAAATGACTAAGTCTTCAATATAGTCTAATTTTATGCTGATGAATTGGCATTCCGTAAGCTAAAAAATAAATAAATTTTTGTAGCATAAATGTGTTTCATAGGCTACGGTAAGACCATTGCACTTTCGCCATGCACATATTATTGATGATTTAATAAGAAATCCTATGGGCTCATTGAATCATTTGCTGACGCATTCAAGCGTGTAAACTATTTTGCATATTTTCACACAATTTTAACCGACTTATGTAAAAACAGGTAGGTACACATATATGATTATAATGAATGATATGATATCAACCCTATATAATAGTCATGATAAAATACCTAATTTTTGTTGCAATATTTATATGCTTTTCGGTATGGTTTTTCAAGGCTCCTAGGTTAAACAGATTATTTATTTATAATATCTTGCAAAATACATATGAATAAACATATCTATCATTGAAGCTTATATAAATATCAGAGATGTCTATTCAGGTTTCCAGCAGCAACATTATTTTTTATTACTTTCTGTGTTTTGGTAGTACAAACATTACTGGTTCCCTATATTTCGATGGCCAAGGATTTCTTTACTGATTAAAAAATCTTTTAAAAAAATTTGCAAAACTCGTAATATATATATTATTTGATATCTTAACAGATATTGGGTTTTCAATGCCAGTGTATTTCAATGATGACAAACTTTAATAATAAAAATTTTTATTACTCGAGAACTTTCAATATTCAAACGCACCATAAACACATTATAGACAAGGTTAAGAATAAAAATATATCAAGTTTTCTTCCACATACCTATAGCCAAAGAGCACCGATACTGAAGGAGTCCATTATTTTGCCTAAAAAAGCTGAGTTGCTTTATAGACCACTAATCTAAATAAATTGTATAAGGTTCCTCCTATTCAACTATTTCTAAGTGAGCTAAGTGAGCTGAAAGGCATCTCCTTTTATTATCACAGGTTAGTTTCTGGGAAACTTCATCTTTGGAGGGTAGGTAGATTACCTAAATTTCAGCAGGTTGCCACGGCATATCTTTCACGGCTCTCAGTGTTAAAATAGTAATGAAATTTGGCAGCTTAGGAAAGAGCACAATAAGCCTAGTTATCAAAATTATGAATGTCAAATTTCAAAAAAATATCTTGTCAAAATAAAAAGATTTTACATACAATAACTTGATTTTGATCGTATGGTGTATATATAACTCATATTGTTTTTGATGATTGCTCCTAAACTCTACGCCTATGCAAAACCACTTAAACTTCTCAAGCTCTCTTAAGCATTTTTAATTGTAGTGGTGGACAAAAGAGAGTCTGAAGCAAAAGCTCTTCCATCAATGCATTCCACATCACCCAACTTCAACAACTTGCTTGAATTTGTATATATGTTTTTGTATATATTTGCACGCAACTGTGCAATTGGCAAATCTCTTTACAACAACAGCAAAGTGATTAACTTTTTTACCATTCATGTGTTTTTTTATATATATAAATATGCCCGGCACCTGGTATCATCCAACTATCAAACGTTTGTGGTTACTATTCTACAGCATTTGTTGGTAGTTGTGTTGTTTTTATTGTTTGTGTTAATACGCTTGACTACTGTTTTAAGTGCTACTTTTAAGTACATGCATACATAAGTCTACAACTATTTTTCTTTGTTCACTTTTTTCTTATAAATTTCATAAACAATGCTACTTTTGCTTCGTCTTTTCTTTATAAATTTTAATTTTTTCATTATTATTTTCCTCTTTGGTTTATCTTTATGTTATCTGCTCCGATAGCCACAGTCATACGCTCAGTCAATTACACGCACTGCTCAGCTCTGCTACCTATGTCATCGCGTATGTGTGTGTGTTTGTGTTTGTCTGACTTTCTGTTTGCTTCTTCGCAATTGTGGTTAATTAGCCGAAGAACTTGCTATAACTTGTTGTTTGGTATTGATTTTCAGTTGGTGAGGAGCAGCTTCAGTGTCAAGGTCTCTCAAGTTCACAAACGGTTGGCGGTTTGGGTTGGCCGAGAGCATAAGAATCTTGGAAAAAAAGAGGTTCTATCGTTTTATGACTCGCAGTGTACGCAGATTAGCGTGAAATGTTTGGCAAAAATATTTAATAAAAAAAATCTAGTGCTAAAGCGTTAAAAAATATTATATTTGTGTAAACCAAAAACAGTTTTGTTGAAAAATATATGTAAATACACATATCGCAGAGCAGTTGTAGTTGGTAAAGTGTTTGAAAAGTGTTGCTGAAATATTTATTGATATATATATCAGATATATATTTACTTGTTTTGTTGTGATATTTAAACACATACTACATAAATAAGTAGGTAAATGCTGGTTAATGAAAATATTGCTCCTAACAATGAGACTTAGAATGTGACATGAGAAGTGTTCCTTAACATCGGCACAAATTCCCGAAAACTTGGAATCGCTAAAGGTTTCTATTAATATAATATTTTGGGCTACGAATGAAAAATAAGTCTTGGTTTTCAAAAAAAAATATTATTCATAGCAATATTTGGAAACAAATCTGGACTTTTTGATTAATTTATTAGTCAACTTGGTTGATCAAACAACTTCTTGTTATAAAAAATGTGTTGGTGAAATACTGCTTCGTCAAGAATAATCCATTTCATTATTATTTTTTTTTCCCCCAAAATACTTGTGGTTATCACATACATTGTTTAACAATCAGAGCAGATCAAAAATTTACTCTCATTTGCTTCGACATATCTCGCCAACGCGAAACTATTGTTGAGTTCGGCTCATCTTGGAACAACTAAATCTTTGTTATATAAGAAACTCAATACAACCCATTGGTATTTTTTCAAAAAAATGTTAATCCAACTGAAACGTGCCCTTTTGGTTTCTGAATTGTGTGAAAATTGTGAATAATTTTTTTTTGCTATAAAGTGATGATGAACAAGCTAGTATCTCCTCCGTAGGGTAAATGATGTGACAAGCATAGTTTATGATTTTTAACATAGGTTCGACGGTATTTCGGAGGGTGCACAAATAAAACTTTTCGTACTGATAAACTTTATTAGAAGCACGAGGTGGCTAAAAAAGAGGGCAATAGTGTGGGTGGATTGTAGTATCGATGGCTTTACAATGGGTCACCCAAAGGTCTATATGCGTCGTCAGACAGCCATTTTATCTACCTACCTATCAGCCATTTTATCTACCTACCTATCTCACATAGGTTCCATATTTCCTGAAATAAGCGATTATTGTTTACGGAATTTGCGAAATTTTCCTGCACAGCTTCGGTACTCCCCAAATCAACTACTTCCTTAATCTCCACATATGTGTCTTCTTAGCCCTTTTCTACGCCTATATATATATATTCCTTGATATCATAGAACAGCTAGAAGGAACTGTAAAGTAAAAACAATTCCCCTATCGGTAGTGTACGTCGAAAATGATTATAAGCAGCTATACATATAAAGATGTACACAAGTTACTCTTTTTCGAGATATACTCGTATATCTGCAGTCATTATAAGCAACACTACATATAACAGATCCAAGCTATTCTGTAATTATAGGTCGCCTGGCAATACTCAATATACCCAATTTTCATTAATTGATTATTTTTACGATAACAAATTAATATATAGAGATTATTCGATTATGTGGCATATTTATAATTCTAGCAATGTTATCGATAGTTAATTAATAATTTTTAATTTTATGAAAATACCATCAAAACAAATAGTGCTCCGCTCAGTGAACTATTCACAATTTAGGTAGCATTGAGTATGTTATCGATAATCGATTAAAAATGCCAAGCAAATATTACTCTTATCTTCATTTTTGTAGTATTGATTCAGTTCAATTTATTTAGTATTGAGTAAGTTATCCATAATCCATTAAAAGATTAATCGATAAAAAATCATCCAACCAACTACTAATTAGCCGAGTGATTAATAATTTGTTTCGTTGAAAAGAAGCCAAAGCAAATATTAAACAGTTCTGTGAAATATCTATAAAGCGAGTTCGTTTAGCTTAAATGTATCTTTAAAATCCTTTCACTCAATAGTGTATCGATAATTCATTAATACAAATTTTCGATTAAAATTAACTATTGCATTTAAATCATAAGATCAAAAAAAGATAATAAGGCAATAAGACTTTTCACAGAATTTATTTTTTGACAAAACCACTTGGCTTTGATTTTTCGACAGTTTTATTTTGTTAACGAAATTAAATTCAACAAAAATTAAAATTATTAATTTTCGAAATTATTTTTATTGCTTTAAACTACGTCAATCAGTACACATATCTCAATCACAATTTAAAATTACAAAATAAAAATTTTCAAATATCATTCTTAAAACTATAAACGAGGCACTTTAATCGCTTAGAGTCTTAATAAACAGTGCACACAAAGAAAGCACAAGCCAAAAACGTATCAATTCACACAAATCAACTGGAAATGAGTACTGAATAAACAACAAATAGGGAATAAAAACACAGCAGGTCAATGCGCACAAATCAATTTTATTGCAAGAAAGAATGAAAGAAAACAAAAGGAGGACAACAGTTAATAATGAAGTTTTGTAAAAACAAAAACAAAAAACGAACAAAAATAAAGCAACAACAAAAGTGGCAAATAAATAACTAACACGAATGCAGTGCGATTTATAGGAAGAACAAGCAGTAGAAGGAAGAAGTGTCGGGCTGCAAGCGGCACACAACCAGGTGACAGGAAAAGAATTATTTCACAGAGCGGCGCAGCGAACGAAACTGCATATCCAATTACGAAAGTAGCAACATGCATTTACCCGCACGCACGTACATGCAATTGCATATATTTATGGATACACATATATATGTAAATGTATTTATGCAACATATTTACATTGCACATGAGTATAGTCTCATAAGCAGGGCTTGGCGAGCGTTTAACCGAGCATATATTGCATATTGAAATTTCGCAAGCAATAATTTGTTTCTTCAAAGACAGAATACTGTGAAAGCGTCGTTGCTGCAAGGCGCTATCAAACGAACTAAGGCTCACAATATTCTAGCTAAAGCTAGACTAGCCTTATGATGACTGGCATAAGCTTCAAGCCATTGTTTTTTTTTTTTGTTTAATTTTACATACTCGCTTGCGATCAGCTGAGCGTCTTTTACACGCAACACAAACAAAATTTACAACAACAAAAATTACAAAACTGAAATTTAGCCTTTTTTATTTGTTTTTTTAATTTTGTTTCGCTGAAATGTGTTTCGGTTGTTGCTGTCAACAGAGCACCGTTATGCGTGCTTCCAGCTCTTTTTTCCGCATCTGAAAGCGACACGGCAACGCATATGCAAGCATATTTGCTTCGCTCATTCACAGCTGGCAGCTTTCGCACTTTCTCACCCGCTCGGCTGTGACTTTGTAAGCCGAATTTCTTTAATTCTGTAGCCACTCTTTGGCAGTGCAGCGCTTGTTTGTTGGTACTGAGTCGGCCTATCTCTCGCCCAAACGCACAATCCACACTTTGGTTCCACTTGTGTGCACACGCGCACACAAACACTCGCAGCGCGCTTCACTCTTTTCTCACTTTCTGCTGTCTCTCCAACACTTACCAAACACTTCTTCGGCGCATCTCTTACAATTTACAATATTCGCCTGGTTTCCATGTGTGCATAAGTTTTGCTTTGGCCATGGCCATGAACGTGTCCACACAAAAGAACTTGTTGCTGCGCGGCGTCAGCTACTGTGCGCCGTTAGCGTCATCGTCCGCGCCGACGCACAGAGTCACATTTGTCGTTTTAGTGGAACAAGTGCTTGCTTACAGCAGTCGCTTTCGTTGCATCTGTCAGCGTTTGCGTCGCACTTACCGTTCGCCGTAGTTCACATACACACTCGCATTTCTGTGCTTCCATACACTCGCCTCATTGCTGGCGTCGTTTGGTCATTACCACTGTCTTTGGCTGGCATTTAGTGTTGGGCACTTCTTCGCTACAACTTCAGTTGCTGTTTTACATTCGGTTTTGACTGTCGTGTCGTATTGCTTGCGCAGTGCCGTCGTTAAGCCGTTATCACTGTCGGCGCTTAGCGAGCATAAGAAAGTTGCTGTTACCCGCAGTTGTAAAGACCATCAGTAATTTAGTTGCTCGTGCGACTTTTACCCAAACTGTTGCTTGAAATTTCTATACGGTTAGAAAGTGTTTCTTGCATGTTACAATATCTTTTTTTATTGTTGTTTGTGTGTAGAAAATTTCTAACTGTTGAATATTTAATTCAAGTGAAATAAAAAAAAAATCCAAATTGTGAGTTTTAATTTATTTTTTATTAAAAGAAATGTTGTAAAAAGTGAAGTTGGAAGAATTGTATGAGTTGTTGCGTTATATAAAGGATATGTAAAGGATAATAAGCTACTCAAGGATATATCCATGATATTTGAACTAAATAAAGTGTGAATTTTTTTCGATTAAGTAAGTTTCAGACGACTTTTTAATGTGCATGAAATATATAATACAGTAAAAATTATTTTTTGCGAGTTTGTGTCTTAAGTCTTTGGTATTTGCTATGGAAATGGATGGCAAATTTAAGCGTATTTGTGTCTGTAGTCTAATGTTTTGACTTGGCCTTTAAAAAATAGCAGTTTTCGCATTCACAAATGAAATTCCATAAACATACAAATAAATAATTTTTCGTCACATTTTTAAGACTATTTTTTTTAATTTTTGTGTCTAATAATATATTATTGAAGATATATTTCTTGTATTTTTGACACCTTAATAAAACATACAAAATGGCTACTAGAAAATAATTTTGATAATACAATATTATAAAGAAAGATATTCTCAAACTACACTACAGTTGATAGAATATTTAATATATAGTAGCTACAAAATGTTTACGTTTAAACTGGAGAAGAAAATGCGTTTCAATAAATCATATAGAATAAAGTTGCAGCTAAATTTTGGTGCCTTAAACTAATTTTTTTTTAAAACTCAAATATTTTTTATTTTCGAACAAGTTTTTAATAAATCGATACAACAATAAACATTAATTTTTACTTGTCTTTAATTGACTTCTTTAGTTTTAATGATTCAATTACTTAAAAATTTATTTTAAAGTTGTCGTTTAAAATCCCTTAAATTTAATTCATTATTATAATAAAAAGTAGATGAAAATACAAGCGCCTAAACAAAAAGTTGACTTAAAAATTAAATAATTTTATATTAACGCATTCCAAAAAAATATAAAAAAATACTTTAAAGCCTAGAGGAAAAATCAATATTTTTTTAAATATTAAAAATGATGTCAAGTTTTAACGCTTATTTTCAAAACTTGTGGTACACGAATACAAAAAATAAACGATTTTTTTGCCCTCCTTAGCAATGAACAATAATGTTTGGTTCACATTTTTATTCAAAGTTTTTAAATTTTCCTAGAGATCATGTTTAAATGGAACTCCTTAAGGTAAATTAGATTGCAAAATATATTAATATTCAATTCTCAGTTCTCATACTTGTTTTCAAAAACGGTTTCAGCTACAAGAATTATTTTCTAATTCATAAATAATGCCACCTTAGAAGGTTCAGAATAAACAGATATTTAAAATGCTGAACGAGTTTGTCTGTAAAGTCTTTTTGGTTAAAAATAGTTCACTTTAAAGACTCGCAATTAAATTAGGTATATAAACCTATAACAATTTCATACATATATATGTATTTTATGTACACATATAGACTCTTAAGAATTTAAATGCTAAATCATAAGTTTTGAGTTACAAAATAAGTTTAAATAATTTCTGAGGTATAATATATCAGCTGGTTAATCGCAAAAATATGTTCATAAAATCAGAAAAAAGTCTAAAAAAATGTTTATCATTAGAGAAATACCATTTAAAATGTCGAAAATTCTACTAAAACTCACATTCTGAAAGACTTAGTCAAAACTGCCCATATATCATAAAAAATTTCTATCATGATATAAAATCAGTAAAATAGCTAAACACGTAAAAGTATATTATAAATAATAATAAGAAACAACTAGCGGAAGCAGCTGTAACGACTGCCAACTGCCACTGCAAAGCAAAAAAAAAACCAACAACAACAACAATTAAATATATAATATTTCAAATCAAACCTAGCAACATAGCAACAAAATAGTGGAAATATCATGAGAGTAGCAAAGAAAGTCATCCAACCAGCAAGTTAGAAACGCGGCTAGCTGGATAAGTTTGTGCGGTAAAAAGAAATTAAAGACAAGAATAACAAACACAACGTAAACTACAAACGAAAAGTATGTAATTATTGCTAAAAAAAAACCAACAAAAGCAACAAATTTCCGCAACAAACCATACAAAAAACAGTGGCAGTGGAAAAACTCAGTGGACTAACCGTAAATACAAAACTAACCAACCAATAAAAAAATTAAAGGAAAAAAAATAATAATAAAACAATAATAATAAAAAAGAAACAGTTACACGAAAAAAAAACGAAAAAACTAATCTAAAAAGTCGTGAATGAAAAAAGTGAAAAGTAAGCAAACAAAGTCAGCGAAGAGAAAAGTTTAAGAAACTCATTAAAATATTACAACAAAAAATATATTTATGTATTCTGAAGACGCGTATAAACACATGCACGCAGACACATTCACACAAGCCTTTATGTGCTATATAGTAGGCGCTTGCTTATAAAAATAAAGAACAAAGTGCGCGTGCGCGTATGTGCAACGCCAGCGTGAAGTGAGTGTTTGTGAAAATAAATTTAATTAAATTTATTATACCACTGAATGCAGAATAAATTAGACAGACGCGAAAAAGCGTAATAAATGCTAAAAGAAAAATTACACGGAATTCAAACTTTTAAAGCATTGACCTAAAATGGGCAGCGGAAGCGCAAAAAGTATTGCTACTTTAAATCTACTATAAAGAGTAGAGAAGGAACTAAGTGATGGGAGAATATATATGTTATTAGAAAAATTCCAACTAAAATATTTTTGGAACGCTGCTTCGTGAATCATTTACTTCATTCTAGTTTTTCTGTCTAAAAGAAGTAACCTAACGAAAAAAGAATATTTACATTTAATTATTTTATTAAGAAACATTTTTTTTATTAAATTTATAAAAAATATATAAATCTAGCCCTCATTAGTTCTTCTTTTTTAGACAATTTTGATGCTAATTTTTTCTTAGGAATTTTAAATTCGTTCGCTATTAGAGGAGTGGATTAAAGTCCAAGAATTTCAGATTGCAATTATTAAAATTTATAAATAAATTATATATCCAGATCATTTCATCACAAAAAACTGACCCCACTAAATGATCGAAAAAAAATATTTCGCTACTGCTGTTTCATTGCCGCGTAAAAAAATGTAGAATTATATACTGAAAAATAATTCTTAGCTTTAAAAGGTCTCATATTATTAATTTTATTAATATTGTCATAATATTTAATATTCTGATGGTCTTAGAAAAAACATTTTCTTCCTTATAGACAACTATAACCAGTAGGAAACGTTGAAGGCCCTATAAAAAATATATATATATCTATAAATGATCAGCATGTCAAGCTTAGTCTATTTGTCGATTTCGCCATTGCAGTCCGTCTGTATACACTCGAACTAGTTTTTGAGATATCGATGGATGAAATTTTGCACACGTTCTTGCCTTGCTGCTAATTTTTCGGAACCGCCGATAGTACTTTGATTGTTGCAAGAGAATAGCAAAGCCTTCTGTGTCACGTTCCAACTTCTGTTAACCTAATGTAAACTTTCTGTTGCTTACATATGCCTGCACCAGGTGAAATATGTAGTTTAGTAACACGGACAGCAATGAGATTTCTGCAAAATATCAAATAGCTTTTCTATCTCTATTGTATTACTATATGGTCAATATAAAACTCGAGGTACTTTGACGTAGTTTTATGCCTTTGGAGCACAAGATGTACTCTCGAAATAGCTACTTCATTCTTTAAATTTTTTTTTAATAATATGTGTTCATCTTTGCAAATGGTTTTCGTACTTTAAAGTGGCTTTGCTTGGACTGACGCAGCTTTTTAACAAATTTGGATTTAGATCTAGCTTATTAAAGCTTTTAGAAAAATTACCATGTCTTCAGTTCTAAACTTTTCAAATTAATTTTTAGACCAGTTGAATAACTTTAAAATTTATCCTACTATTTTTGGTAAAGGATGTAAAGCTAAACCATTTTAGTAAACTTCTTAGTTATCGTTCTTTCTTATTGAACTTATCGCAGCGAATTCTGCTTATAAGTGCTCTCTATGGAAGGCACATAATTGCAATTGAACCTACAACTCAACCTAAACTCAATTTTTCCTAACGAAACATAATCTCTTATATTTAAACAGTAAAAAATGCTGAAAAACAATAAAAAATAAAAATTAATAAAAATTGCCTAAAAAGAAAAACTTGGGCTTCAAAAAGAGTGTCTTACAATACTGCAAAAACAACGGCAGAATATCAGAAAAAGCTACCAACCAAACCAGCAACAGTGAAACCTACAAAAAAAAAAGCTAAAAAAAAGTAACACAACAACAAATTCATTTATCTTTGAAACCAGCTGAGCAACGCATCCGCATTTTTCGAACGATTTCTCAAGCAACAAATGCCACAAATCGCGCTATCGCCTGCGCACGCACCAAACTTCACCCCCAGCTGGTGCCGCTACAACTACAACAACAACAACCACAACAACGGAGTGGTGGTCCAGTTCTTGCAACAAGCAACACGCGGCACAACAACGAGGCAAGAAGTGACTATGGGTAAGGCATCATACAACAGTTTCGCTGTATAATTGCAGCAGGAGGATAATATAACAACAATAACAACTATAGAAATACGCAAAAGCATTTAAGTCAAGCGACGAAGAGTCAAAGGCAAGCAACCGACGACTAACAAACTGCATTTGAGGCCACAGCATTTTGCGCCTCACCACACAGACCCAGCAACAAGTCCACGCCGACTGAAGAAATAGCTAAAGGCGAAATTGAAAACGCAAACAAAGCAACAAATAGTTGACAGCGAAAACGTTAAGCAAACTGGCGCGCATGCGCTGTAAATTGTATATTTAAATTGGCAGTCAACACATACGCACACACATACACACACACAACTGCAACGTGTTGCATGCATGCAGCTGCATTGAAGCCACATAAGCGTACACAACGGCAGCGCACAGCATCATCTGCAGTTGCCACATCGGCGATAGCAGCGCAAAAATCTACAACAAAACAACAACAGCAAACAAAGCGCCAAACACTTTACACTGTGCAGCGCGCAAGTAGCAACAGAGTTAGTCAGTTGGCCGCACAGCTTTGTGGCACAAGTGTAGACGCGAGCAGCATTGGAACGCAGCTTCTCAGTCAGCATCGGCTGTCAACAATATACGCGCCGTCTTATCTCCCTCTTGACCTGCATGGTAAGTTGCACAAAGATTGTAAAATTTATTTTTAGTCTTGTTTGTGTTATTGTTGTTGTTTGACTTTGCGGCCATCAGCATTTTCTTCAGCATTCTTAGTTCGCCTTGACTTTGGCCTATAGTGCAGCATTTGCACGCAAGCGTACACATACACACATACTCATTTGCAAAAGAAGCATTAGTGTTGCATGCAAAAAATGTGGCAGCAACTTGCAACGCAGGAAACTGCAAGATATTACCATTATAAATGCCATTTGCATAGCTACATTTACTATCGCCGGTTTCTTTATGCTCTACTCTGTGTTGTTGGTTTTGTTTGTGCTTTTCTTAGTGCAAGAAACAAACAAGTTTCGTTGGTAGGTCGAGCAGACATTGCTGCTGCGCAGCGGCGCGTTGTTAAAGTGGCAAAAAGTGTTCGCTTGGGATGCAGGAAAGTTTTAAGCAGTCAGCTGTTTTTTTTTTGCATTTCTTCGCTATTCGCTGCTGTGTTAGGACGCAGAAATTTTTACACTTTGTTATTAGTGAAAAATATTTGGAAATATTTTACACGAAATGATGGAAGTATATATTTCTATTTCTTATAATTTGAAGAACTCATAGGAAGGTTGTTAAATTTCTTTATATTGAATTGTATATGCTGAAGAATATAATAATATTATTAAAGCGAAAAACAAATACTTGCTTTATCATTGTTTGCACCAAAAAAAAAACAAAAATCAATCACAAATCAAAAAATAATCAACTGGTAATGGCTCTAGATCAATATAATTGTATAAGTTAAGATAACTATTGATAAGTCAATATAATTATGTTGGCTTAGCCTCCCATAAAATATAAGCTCATAGCTTAACGTGCTGGTCAAATTAAACACGCCTGTTATTGAATTACAATTACTAGAAAGCCTAACGAAATTAATAGGTTTGTTGGGCTTATGCTTTAAGAAGATTATCTGCAAACGGACATTAATTAGCAGAGAAGAAAGTTTCGAAAATCTGATCAAAATTAACGCGAACTACGGGTAAACAATAAATCATTAAAATTCTTTTTGGCAGTAGATAATTTTAATTTTAATTATTATTATATTAAATTGAATATTTAAAAATAGAGACTTTCAACAACATAAAGCCAACTGACTTTTTAAAAAACTTTAATATTATAACTTGAGATTTTTTGATTGAAAATTAGTGTTTTTTTTTCGATCTTCTATAAAGAGAAAAAGTAAATATTTGAAATAGAAAAAAATACAGTTTAAAAAGGAATGAATGAGAAAATGTTTATGACAGAAAGAAAATAAAAATTCTACAATTTAAAAACAAAAAACCCAAAGAGTTGGTTATTTGAATTTTTCGTATCAAAATAAATATATAGATCTTTTCATTACCAACAACATTACCATAGGTATAACTTTTTTCTTTAGGATCCGTAGTTTTGCCGTAAATCGAGATAAGCCATTCATAACTCTTAAAAATTTAGCCACGCCGCTCCCCTTCGTTTTCCCGAACTTATATCGCCCGTAAATTATTTTTTCCTTAATTTCTTGGTCATTTTATCTTTCGTTTCCGATGGGTTTTAATCTACTATGATTTTTTATTTCTTTCTTGTTGATTAATTTTCAAATACTTCTGCACTGGTCTATAATTAATTGCGTGTTCGGGAGAGGATTACGCAGTCATGGAAAATTTGCGTATTGCTATGTAGACGTCATTCTTGCTCTGTTAAAGACAATGTCATAAATAAAGTTAGCAGAATATATGAGGCTAGTATTGAGTTAGCAGCAAACCTCAACAACTCAGTACGAGCAATACTTAATAAAAAAATAAATAACTTTTGGCATACTCGCTATACTAGAGTAGATTTACCATTAGCCTTCACTCTAAAGTTGTCTTCATATTAAAGAATTGAGAAAGAACTTCCCGCAAAACCACTTCTTCTGGCACAAAATTCGACAAACTTGAGTGAAAAAAATGATTGCTTCTTACGCTTCAAATAAATAACATATACCGAAAATTACGCACAAGGTTAGTGGCTTTCCAACGGATGTTCGAAATATTAGAACAACTTTAATAGAGTGTTCTCTTGGAAAACCGCACGAATAGTTATGCTCGTAGGCCCAATAATAAAATCCATGCTCATGTGAGCTCAATCAACAATTGGGTTGCTTGTGACTTTTCCTTATACATGAGACTGATATAGTTGTCCTCGGCAACGCATCGCGTTTCCAGGTGACATTAACTATAATTATTTCTATAGTATATGTATGCATATATATAAGTAGAGCAAAATAAACTATGACCGCTGCTGCTTGTAAATTGTGGTTTATTGAGGTAAGGTTTAATAAAAATTATTTTAAAAAAATTATTGCTTATAATATTTCGTTCTCTGCTTTTAGAAGGCCATATTTTTCATCGTTTGATAGATTGTAGACAGAACACGCACTTTATAAATAAAAATTGCGATATACAGTTAGGCAAGCTAGAATTGTTTTCTTTAAATTATTTTTGCCATACTCCTCAAAAGAGGAAAATAACCGCATCTACTGATCAGTTAGAGGTATATTTTAAAGAAAAAAGAAAACTAGCATTAAGGATGTTGAACATTTTCTATGTATGATAGATAGTAAATATAACAGTGGGTTAAGAAAACACATATTTTTTACATATGTATGGATGTGTGTATAACGTGCTCTATTCATATTCATGAACGAAAACTTATTACATTGTGTAATAATAGATTAAAAAAAATAAATTAATTAACTATATTATTAATAAAACTAGTTGAGTCTGCTGCGAATTCGCTGTTAAAAAAACTTCACTGCTGTTATAAGTAAAAAGTAAACAGCAAAAACTCTTAAAGTAATAATAAAAATATTTCATAAACGCACTTTCCGCAACTTTTTCCAAATAGTATTACTGTTGATTTACATTTTTTGCATTCAGCGCGCATTTTTTCACTTTCTTCGTCACTGTTACTTTTTAATAATTTGCTTTATGCTTTCTGCTATCCTTACTCCAATTCAAATTACAAATTAATAACTGCTTTATTTGCTATATTAGTCATTTGTATGCTGACTTTCAGCACGGGTAGAAATTCATTTTTTTTTATTATTTTTGTTTTTGTTTTTCTGCCTTTCTTCAATACAAAGCCCACGTTTTGTGTGCTTTTGCATTTATAATGATTGTTTACGCACACTTGTTGTTGCTGCTTTCGTTTGTTGTTGCAGCATTTTGTTGAAGTTTTCACTTTCCATCGTTGACGATACCAACACACACAGCACACAAACATAAAAGCAACAACAGCGAAGCTACAATCAGAGATGATGGCCACTAAGAAGAAAGTGAAAAGTAAAGCAAAAAAAACCACCGCCACATAAAAATATCAGAAAAAAATCATTTAAAGAAGTTATATATTTTTTAAATACAAAAGTAAAAAATAAAAACACGAAAAAACCAAGAAATAGAAAAGTGCAGGTCATAATGGCCGCTCTGGTAAACCAGCTTGTGAATGTAAATTAACAATTTGTTGTTTGCATATATTTACACACACATCTGTATATATGGTACATATGTACGAGTATGCATGTAGAAATGTGTTTTTGTTTGTCTTTAAAATATAACAGCTCTGGTTATTCATTCATCATAAATGTAACGGTAACTTTCGCTTTTTGCGCTTGTGTGTTGTTCTTGTTTATTGAAATTTCATTGGGCACAACAGGAGAAAAGTGCGCAACAACAACAATAGTAGAAACTAGCAAATGTATTAGGTCGAAAAAATAGCAAAATGTAACATGCCATTTATAAGAGCTCACTTGCCAATTCAACAATAGAAAATTTCATGAACAAATTCCTTTGAAGATTCTTTTTATATTTTAGCCTTTATAATTTCTATCTTTTATATAAATAATAGGAAATGTGTAGCTAATTTCTTATAATTTTTTGTTGTTCCTAGTGAAATATTTTATTTTTTTTAATTTTTTGTTATCTAATTTTTATAAAACTTAAAGTTGTGCGCTTGGTAGCGATATTTGAGTCAAATACACATTACTAATCTAGATATTGAATAAAATTTTTGGTTTGTTGTAAAAGTAAATTATTTATTAAATAATAAATGTAAAATAGCATTTAATTCAAGAAATTTAGAAAATTATGTTTAAAATTTTTTTATATTATATATTATTTTTTTTTCAAAATTCTTATAAAGGAAAGGTGTAAATTATGCGAGAAATTGTTTATGGTTTTAATAGCGATGAGTCCATAAATTCCACTATAGTCGAGGTACCTTATATTTATATGCTGGACAGTGTATATTAGACGCACAGTTCTTGAGATATTTTTTGCACAAATGCTTTTATCACCACGAAAATTTTTTAATTGACGATATATTTTCACGAAACTTGACATGGCATAGATCGTTATCCAAGACGTTGGTATAATATCTGAAGAAATCGTTCAGAATGAACTACAATAGCATATAGCTGCCTTAACTCAACTGACCGATAAACCTCAAGTCCTTGTATGAGAAACTTTTTTATTAGTCAAGGTGCCTTTACGAAACTCGTCTTAGAGTATTATCCATGACCTCACTAAAATCTCCAAACATACTATTCAGATCGCATTACTATATTTTATATATTCTATATTTTACTTCGGATGTAGAATTTCTCTTTGAAAAAGTTATAAAATCAGTTAGACATATATAACGAGCGATGGGGTTATAGTCGATCCTCTACTGTAAATATCTGTCAATATATGTTATATAGATTCTTGTTTTTCAGGTAAATTCTCGCGATCTGTATCTGAAATATCTTAATATATAAATAAAATATTAAATATTAGAAGAAAAACTGTTAACATCAGTTAACTAACTGTTTCTCACCCTTCATCTGTTTGTATCTAATGTGGTATTAGGCAATAAACGAGGCAGCTTAAGAAGCTAACTAGTGGTTTTTTATAATTTAACAAAAAGAAAGCATTTCGAATAAAAGATACCTATGGTTCACATGA